CTCCCCTTCCTCGCCGTAAGTTAAAATCCCTCTCTTTCTCCCCGTTCTCCGCCCTCATCTGATCTCCTTTACAGCTCCCGGCCACATTCACTCCTCCGCCCCTTGGGTCGCCGGGCGCTTCTATTGCGTCGTGCCCGCAGCTCCTCTCATTGCCACCATTGACAGTGACCAAACCTGGTACGCCGTCACCCGGGGGCGCTACGTCGGCATCACCGATCTCCACGCATTGGATCTCTCCGCCATCCTTCGGATTTCGGGCGCCGCTCACCGAGGGTATCCGACCCAGGCTGCGGCCCTCACTGCTTTCAACAGCGCGCTCGCACTCGGCGTCGTGGAAGTGGTACACGCGTAATTCTTTTTGGTAAAGCCCCTGCGACCTCCGTGTAGCCCTCATTCTCATCCCTCCTTTTCAGTTCGTCGCCTTTCATTTCCCTTAGTCCATCGATAGCGTAGCTCCATAGCAGTGCCCGCAATATACTTCTTCCCGCCGTCTGCCCGAGTGACCTTAAGCATGCAAATGAAACGCGTAGCAAACTCGCCACACATCAGAAAGGCACGCGAATCGAATCAGAAGCACGCCAACATATTGCATGGGGGCCGTATTTGCAAATCGGTCTCTCCACGCCCATGCCTCCCTTCCACACCCCAGTGAGCTCGTTCGCGTTGCCGCCTCTTGAACGAGATCTGACCCTTCGCAGCCTCTTATTACCAGAACTGTGCTATTCTACCCTTGGGGTGTTACAGGTTGCCACACCGTCCAGCTTCTCCTTCGTGCCGACAAGCCCAGCCTCGACTACGCGATCTACGACTACTTCGAGCCGAACCCGTGCAATTGCGAACGCTGCCCCAAGCCGCACGTCAAGCATCGCGCCGTTCCCGGCGCGTCGTTCACCGTGTTCACCGCCTGCGAGCATGGCCCCGACTACACCCCGAAAATCCATCCCAACAAGGCGGTCGCCAAACTTTTGCCGGACCCGACGCATACCTGCCGTGGAAATGTCCTCGTGGTCAAGCATCGCTTGAACGAAGATAAGCCCGATACGTCCAATCTCGATCTCCCACTGCTCGACATTGAGCCCTCCGACATCCCACTTGTCGATGAAATCGTTCGGCGGTCAGTGCTCCACCTCTCTCATTAGACTCTTACTAACTCTTGTATAGTTGGGTAGACCAACTTCATACTGCGCGTGTTCCTGTCGGTTCCTCTTAGTTACCATTTGCAATACAAAATCGGTGTGATCACAATGCCATCAAAAACTCCTGATTTGGAACGCGGCGTTGATTCTGTGATGCTCTCGTTATCTCTCGGCTATCGCTATTCCTCCTCTGCCAGCGTCCATGGTCCAACTCGATCAGCCACTTGCCCAGGCCGCTGACCCGGATGACCTCAACTTGCTGGTCCAAAATCTTACCCTTGAGGACGACGGACCCGCTCCCCGTTTGTCCCCCCTCTCAATCAAACATCAGCCCCTGAGCATTTGATTTGCAGCGCGTGTGACGCCACCACCTCGAACCCCCAACCTGCCCTGCACACCAGCCAACCCAGCCCCACCATCCCGCCCCGTCACCCCGAATCGCAGACGGGATTCGGGCTCGACCCTCTATATATATGCCACCCCCACAAAGACGGGGCACTCAAAACATTGGTACGCGATCGTGCGGCGCTTATATATCACGGGCTCATGTCCCAATTAGGTCCGAGGCTGGCTCACTCACCCAAGGCAGCCCCCAGTCTCACGTCCGCGCCCAGGGCAAGCGCCCCAAGCCGCGGAGCGCCAAGGCTGCGTATGTGGTTTTTCGCGGCCGCACCATGGGGGTCTTTAATTCCTGGTGCGTTATGCGTTCTCGTGAAATTTTTCTGGCTTATCATTCACAGGGAGGAGGTCCGGCAGGCGACCTCTGGTGTTCGATTTTCCCTGCACCAGGGCTACTCGTCCCACGCCCAGGCCGTCGCTGCCTTTGCGCTGGCAGAACGCAATCGCTGGACGTGCCACTTTGGGTCCCAATCGGGGTCCGCCATTTCCGTGGCCGACGCCCCCCTGCCAGTCGCACATCAGAACGACCCATCCATTTTCTCCGGTCGCAATCCGCAGGACCCCTGGTATGTCGTCTACGCCGGCATCAACCCCGGGGTTTTTTCATCTAGGTTTGTCTTCCAGCTTTTGCCGCTCCATTTGCACACATCTAACAATTTTTTTTTGGGTAGTCTTGAATGTGCGTTGAACGTCCTCGGTATCAAATCTGCCTTGCACAAGCGCGTGGAGACTTACGTAGAGGCGCGGAAGAAGTTTGACGGCGCCACCGATCGGGGCGAGGTCACAATTTGTCGCACATCTCTAGTATAGTCGCAGAGTAGTATATTGTAGAGTAGTATATTTCTACAATATACTACTAGAACACCGCGCTCATTGAAAGTCGGAAGTCCTCCAGCTCCTCAGCCTCGCGGCGCTGCTCTTCGCATTTTTGCTCCCGGGCCAGAAAGGCGTAACGGCCGTGTTTCTTCTCGAAAGCCCTAAGTGGACGCGTGAATGAGCTGCAGCAAGGGTAGCGCATGTGTTGAGACGTAGACAGCGCACCTCATACGCACGATGCGCTGGCGGTGAGCGAGAGTTCCAGCATTCCTGAGGGACCAATTATTAACATTACGCCGTGCCATTTGGACGCACTTCTCGCGGTATTTCTTGCTGGCCTCCCGGGCTCGAGCATGCACCTCATTGGTGAGGTCTTCATCTGCCTTCTGCCGCGCACGGAGCCTATTCGCAAGTTTATGTGTGAGTGAGCAGCCCAGGAAGACCACGGACGCAAACTCACCGTGCCATCCGCTCCCGCGCTTTCTCTCGCAGTTCATCTTCGTTTCTCCACCCCAAAAAAACTCAGAACGGATAGGGAGACCTTCATACCACTCACTTCTCCCGATATTTGGCGGAGGCGCGGCGACGAGCGAGCATGGTAGACGCAGAGCGGGGGGTCTGAGATTTAGACTGTTTAGCAGTTTCTCACCTATTATCGAGTCAATATGAGGGGAATGTGGTATGGAACAGAAGCGCGAATACGTACGAGTCCGAAACTGCAATAGTTGTGGCATTTCGGGAGGATTGAGTTGACATGGTCGTGGTCGAAGACAGATCGCATACTGTAAATAGCAGTCAATTGGGCCCTTTCAGTGCGACCCATTTTTAAAATACCGTCTTCCCACCCAAAAATATGATTTATATTTACGAGGTAAGGCTCCGAGAATGAAACACTTCTCTCTATTCAAAATTTCGCCAGAGGTCCTGTTCAAGATGAAATCGTAGGACTGAGGCACGACTAGGCCGGCGTGTGTTCGCGACATTCACGTGCGAAGTTCGCGATATCGCATTGCAGGTACTACAGCTTGCCCTTCTTCCCGCCAAAAAATGGGATTTATATTTTCCATGGGGCCCTGTAAGTTACGAACACTTCTGTCGATTCCAAATTTCTCAAGAGCTACTAGTAAATATGAAAACCCGGGAGTGAGCCAGGATCAGCCACCGTCAGTTCGCCATATCGCTCCATCTACCAACATATTACACAACTCAGGCTTCAACGGCTCCACGAGGTCCCAGATATCTCTTTGTTTATTAGCTATGTACCAGGAACAGGAAGTAGTATGCAATATAAACGAGTTTTGACGGCATATGTACGTGGGAAGGTCTCTATGGAATACCTAAGGCGAGGGCGTCTGCGGCACGATTACCCTGAACTTCTTGGGAAACTGCAGGCCCTCCCAGGTGTAGGTAATGCCGCTCGTAACGTCGCGCCCAGGATACGCTGACTCGAGCTCGGCCTCTTCGGCATAGTGCCTGAAAGGTTCGCCGTGCATGGTCGTCATACACGACGGACACTTCCAACTCTTCTCCAGCCACAGACGGATACACACATAGCAGTCGCTGTGACCGCACTTGTAACTGAAAACGGGGGTCAGCGTTTCGTTTGGCGCGGATAACGATAAATTGAAGATCAGACTTACGAGACAGGGTGGGATTTGACACCCTGGCAGATGGTGCAGAGGTGGTGCACGGCGAGCGGGAGCACATTGACCGGGCGCACGGCGGTGAGCCACAGGTCATCGGCCTGGACCTCGGGCGCATTTTTGGGGCGGCCTCCGTTGCGTGCGACCAACTCCGCCTCGGAATTGCGGTTACGGATACGAGTGGCCACGGCGGAAACGGGCTGAGGTGGCATCACACGCCGCGATCGCGCACGGTATTCAGCGGCTGCGGCGTCTGCCCGCTCGATGCGCCACTGTCTGAAGCGAGCTTGCAGCTGCCGCGCTTTAGCGTCGATGTGGGTTGCACGAATGGACGGCGCAGTGGGAACTACACAACAGGTCGTGGCCGAGGAGGTCGAGAAGGTCGTCGTCGTCGTCGAGGAGGTCATCATTGAAGAGGTTGAGGCCGTGGCAGGGCCGGGACTAACGGAGCGGTTGAGATTGCACGACGCTGGGAAACCCGTATGCTGGATGATGGTCGAAGGACGGCCTCTGAATATGTTCTTCCGAGGGCGAGCTGGGATGGTATATTAGCGGGGGATGCCCAGCCAGGAGGGGAGGCGCTACGCACCGGCTTGGACAAGATGTCCACGGGCATCTACCACGAGTGGGTGGTCGACCGAGTCACCAAGTGCGCGACTCAAAGACATGGTGATGGTCAACTGGGAAGGGCAAGGGAACAGACTGAGCCAGCCTGGTGGTCGAGAAACATGTGAAATAGGGAAAGATGGTGTCGCAGCCGCCAGGGCGCGAGCTTGGCGCGAGCATGCGAAGAGAAGAGATCTGCGTCCATTTGCACATGTTTGCTCTAAAATGATATCATCCTCTCGTTCGGCCGATCTGTAAAGGATAAGGCTCAGGATATAAAGTACATAGAAAGAGGATGTAAAGAACAGAAAGTAGCGAAATAAAAATAAAAAAAGGGCATGGAAAAGTATGACAAAGGTGCAAAAAAAAAAGGGCACTTTTGGTGGCTTGAAAAAAGGAGGGCACTTGACCGGTGTCGATCCGGCGATCTCCTGGTTAGATTTCTCGAAAGGGGCCAAATATAACCAGGCGCTTTTGCCAATTAAGCCACAAGTGCTGCCCTTCAGAGTGGCGCATCAGCTATTTAACAGCCATTTTGAGTACCCATCCCTCAACGACTTCACTTCTCAAGATTGGCATTACGCGTGAACAGGAAAATGAGAATGTTTTATTCCAGGTTGCAAAAGTATGATATTCTAAGTACGAAGATAGGACAGCTCGGGGATTTTGGAATATAAGGCGGTGGCTGCGGGCCACCTGGACCATATCGGGGGTGCTGCCGCGTATTGAGTCAAAGAATATCGAGTCTCCCCAGATTGGATAGTCGCAATGGAAAAACGGAGGATGGGGGGGAGCAGCACAGTGGTGCCGGCGGGAAAACGTAGGATACGACCAAGGTCCCACAATATTAAATGCCTGCCTTTGTCTGGATCAAAATTGCCGAGAGCGGTGATGGCCAGCCACAACCAGCGAATGTGGTGGAAGGACCATTGAGGCAGCGTCACCGTTTGTGGGCCCAGGTCGAAGGTGACACTTGTCCACGCGCCGGGGAATAGACGTTCGAGCGAGGGATTGGCGTCAAACAGCGTGTCGGCCTGGGAGGCAGCCAGAGCAGATGAACGCGGCGAGAATGCCGAGAACAGATCTGGTGGAAATGAGAGATAATGAGACCACGGTCTAGGTGAGCGCGAGGGAGGGAACTTGCCGTTTCCAAAAGCGCAGAGGAGCTTGATGGCCTCGTGCTTGCTGATGTAATCCAGCGCTAGCGCGTCACAGACATTGGCAGCTCGCAAGTTTGTCGGATGCTCACGGCGCGGGTGAGAATCAATTCCACAGTGCGTGCTGACACTTACTGTAGCGCCCTCGCAGTACCCCACGCCCGCGGAGATTGAAACGAAGGTGTCTAGCGCGCCGGTCGCGCGGGGTCTCGCGAGGAGAGCCGCCGACTCAAAAGCGGCGGTAGCCCGCGCGATTATGGCAGGGCCATCGGCTTGCGGCTGCCCCCCCGCGACAGCTATGACGAGGTGCGTTCTGTCTAGCACAGGTCTGGCATCTCTATGGTCGAAGTAAGCACTGCAAATTTGAAGAAGGTGTGTATTCCTCACAAGCCTGCCCAGTCGACCAAGGTGAATCCATACGAAGCCGTAGGCCCCACGAATTCCGTGTGCGCATGAAGACAGTCGTCTGGATGGATCCTATCCGCCTGTCGAAGCTCCGCCTCCGTCCACGGCGGTCTGGGTGTCAAATCTTTGGGGAAAGCACGGTGAGCTGCTTTCAATGTGCGCGCAGCTGCTCAAGCCTCGATTAACGGGCGAAGCTCCGCCGCGCGTTGACGCTGCAGAGTACCAAGAAGCCGGATTTTGTGGCCGTTGTCCCAAATGAAATTGGGGTCGAGGAGGTCCTCTCGGTCGGGATCGTCAGCGCCGGAGTCGTCGGCCGATTCAGACGCGTCAGAAGAATCCACGGGCTCTGCGGTTGACGGTAGGCAACAGTCATCCATGTTTCGCTCATCCAGAGTCTGAAAAATATCATAGGTTATGGTCGGTAGTATCGTGGGCCCTAGCGGAGGAATAAGATGACGGCGAGTGGTCTGGCGCGTTGGACGCATGGTTTGAGAGGTGGGCTCGCACAAATGTGTCACTCAAGCGTACAAGGCGTTGAATTCGGTATGAGTGCGTCCCTTGCACGCGAGTATTTATTGAATTTCACTTGGTCTCCGATACAGTATCAAGCCATCAATATGCTTATCGGCCCTCATCTTCCAACCTCATGGCGACCGCAAAAATCGTAGACGAAGGAGCCCCGGCCGACAGCGACGACGACGACGAAGTGCCAGCGTTGATACCCCAGGACGAGGAGCGGGTGGCGTACTACGTGGAGCCGGCCGCTTACGATGCTTACCTGCAGCTTCTGGTGCACAAACGCAATGTGACTGCCGTCGGGTACAACGAGCTGTGCCGTGCGGACGTCGAGATTCGGCGTTGGCAGGCAGCGAAGGCTAAACGCGGGATGCGTCGTGCCCTGAAAGCTGGCGGTGAGCCGTTTCTATTTCATGAATATTTTTTGGGCTGCTCGCTGACGCCGCCCGTGTAGATCGTGACAAGGGTGAAGGCCCGGGGCCCGACGAGGACTTCTTTGGTGGCGCGGGGCACCGGGTAATCGAGGCTCCCTACCTGACTCTCCACTACGACATGTCGGCAAGCCCGCGTGATTGGATGCAAGCCGAGTCGGATGGGAAGCGGCGCGCGGCGCCCGCGCGTAGGTAGTTTATTATTCCTTTGGTGCTCATGCACAGGCTGATCTCTGCTTATAGAATTTCCTACCACAGTGCGGCCCATTCCCAGCTTTGCCAGTCCCACCGTATCCTCTATGATCAACTCCATGTGCTTCCGGTGACTGTCATGTTTTCTCGCGCGTGCTTTTTATTTCTGATGCGGGAAGTCCAGGCGCGTGCTAAGCTTTAGTAGGATAATGGTTGTACCTCGAATTACTCTGAAATGGCAATTCGTTCCTGTCACAATTTGAATAAGCAGCAACAGATGGCGTCGTAGCATCAATTCTTTTTTTCTGGTTTTTTTTTTTCACCTCCCCTTTGTCATGGACAACGAAGAACACCCTTTCGACGCAGCGCTCGAGCACCGCATTCACATTCGAGACCTGCAGACCGACCCCGGTTTTATTATTATGGCCCGTGACAAATTTCGAGCGCAATCGGGAGGCTCGCCTATGAGGTGCACATGGTGTCGCGAGGGCGGCGAAGGTGTCAAGCTCATGCGCTGCCTGCAATGCGCTGATGGCATGCCGGGATGTGCGTCTTGCGCGATGATAGCGCACGAACGATACCCATTGCATTGGGTCGAGGTAAGCCGAAAAATTGCTGGAGCGTTGATTTGGATTCTGACTCTGAGCCAGGAATGGAGTGGCACTTTTTGGAAGCGGACGTCGCTGTTCGTCCTGGGCTACACCTTTCAGCATGGTCATGACGGCCTCCCATGTCCCAATCCAGCCCCTGATACTGAGGTACGACGGATCATGTCCGCGAGCGGGTACCACCAGGTGTCGTTTCGGGCATGTAAATGTGGCGACGAAAAATGAATATTATATTAGGTTGGCGATGAGTAGATACATGTAAAGTGTAATACATGTAAACGACGCGATGGAGCTGGCGTTCCTGGCTCCTTTTGCGTGAATTCAAATTGAGCGCCCGCGCGCCTAAAATGTGCGCGAATTCGCCCGCGGCGCCTATTACAAAAGGGGATGATAACAACAGCACCCGTGACCATCAACTCAGCAATGCGCACACCAAACACCCAAGTCCCGATCCTCTGCGCGCAAGATGGCGCCTTTGAAATTGCTGATAGGGTCCTGGGCTCGTCCACCACCATCTACTCATGCCACGGCGCACGGACGTTTACGTCGACGATGACTACGCCGATGACGAGCCCCTACTCGTCGACAAGGGCTATCATGTATCCACCGACGGCGCGCGCACTGTGTCGAACCTTCTGAACGTGAGGCCTCAAAAACGGACACGCGTGGAGCCGGGCCAGCTCGAAGACTCATACGCGGGTTGGACGCCGATGCCCGAGGACGATCTGGACGAGGTGCAGGCGGTGGCGGACACGGTCTCATCTCTGGACATTGGTGGGGACGACGGGCTCGAGGATGGAGATGCTGCGAAGCGTAAACGCTACAAGAGTTCGGTGAGTGTGGCTGGCTGAATCGCTCGCAGTACTGACAAATGAAATACAGGACGAGCCCATGACACTCTGGCACCCCCTGGACCAGTACTTCTTAGACGCGTTGCTTCGTCGGGAGGGTCTGGGGGGTTACGTGTTCGACCCCGTGTGCACGTCCTGCCGCGTTCCTTACGGCGATGGAGTGCGGTTTTTTCGATGCGACCAGTGCGGAGAGTTTTTGCAGTGTCAAAACTGCATCAAGTCGAGGCATGAGTTAAACCCATTGCACGGCATAAAGGTGCGTGGTTCGCTTATCGCTGGGAATGCGTTGTTCATTTTCACCAGGAATGGGACGGGGAAAAGTGGACGGAAGCAACACTTTGCGGTCAGGCGCCCGCTCGCCCGGATGGCTTGGGCTTGGTGTACCAGCTCGGGCACCATGGATTTACCTGCGAGTTTCCTGGGCGCGTGCGGCAAATGGTCGTCATGGATATCACCGGCATCCATACAATCGACTGCCAAGAGTGCACCTGCAAGGAGGGGGAGCGGAAGAGCAATCTCGACTTCCTGCTCGAGAATGCGTGGTACCCGGCAACGACGGTGGATCCGGAGATGTGCGCGACTTTCCGCACGCTGGAACAGTTCCGCCTCCTGAACGTCGTCGGCAACGTCACCGTGCACGACTATGTGGGAACGCTGGAATGGATGACGGATACATTAAGATTATCATCAGTGCCGGTACGTCTGGGCTTCTACGATGCGGGTATAGTTGGCTGACTTGGTGCTGGCCTCGGTAGGACCGCTACAAGGTGTTTGGTCGGATGTCCCGGCAGTACAGTTTCCTGCAACGGGCGAAACGCGCAGGCCGCGTGCATGAGACAGATGGCTTGAAGACGACGAAACCGGGGGCTTGGCAGTGCTTTGCTGGGCCTGTCCGCACGATGGCAAGAATCTGCCGGACGGTTGGAGGGATGTGGACGCTAGATACCGGTAAGCACGCGGCGCGCATACGCAGCGAGCCTGATGCTGAGTGTTATTTAGCTTCTTGTACATGTTATTGCTGGCGCTCGACGCCAACTTTCGATTAAAGAATTGTCTGCGTGCAAATGAACACCAGGACCCGTCTCTGGGCGGCGGGAAGGAATATTTCGTGGAGTCGGAGGCGTACAAGACCCACCTACGCAATTATGTCGCGGAAAAGGATGTAAGTGCCGCTTGCATGTCAGAAAAGCGCAGGCTGACGAGGGCGCGTGTAGGTTAGCTCGTGTATTGCCTTCGCAGCCCTCCTTCAAAAGGAGACTCGGCTGACGACGGGTTTGCGCGTTTCGGGGGTTGGGGGATGCGTGTGCGCTCGCCACGGCGTCGTCCGCCCGCTGGG